CGGGGCCGCCTGGGGGCTGCCCAGTGGGTGCTTTGGACTCCTGGGTGCTCCAGATATTGACAAGGGAGAGACAGAGCAGGGTCGGGCAGGGGGACTCCAGGCCGGGAAAAGATTGGGATCGAGTCGGAATGCAGAGAGCAGCTGGGAGGAAGGAGGGGAGAGGAGTCTGGGGGTCTCTGTGGCTCAACTGGGCCCATCTGGGGACCCCACGTGGTAGCAGGGGGCTGCAGAGAGGTCCCCGGACTGCGATTCCGGAGACCAGCAGAGCCAGGGACCCTGGACTGCTCCGGTCTCGTTGCAGGGCAGCCTGTGCCCAGCACGTTGGCATATTTGGTGTCCTGGGTACCAGTACAGCAGCAGAGTGACATGGGCACAAGGACAGGAGATCCCTGTCCCGGTGGAAATAACTGTGCAATCTCTTCAGTTCGGAGATCCCTCGTACCTTATAGTGATTTGTGCCCCCCGAAAAAATCACCCGGATGGTGATTCCCGGTGGTTCCCAGTGCAACATCCCGTGCGTTGGGCACGAGTTGGAGTTGGACTGTTTGACTCTCCTTGGACCCAGCCCACGAGCCGTGCGTTCAGCCCAGACGGGAAGCGTCTGGCGGGACGGTGCGTTTCGCGTTCCCGGTGTCCGGCCGGGACGTCCCTGCCCCGCGTGTCCCATGGGGCCAAGTGCGTTTGCGTTTGGTGGGGCCGGAGCCCGTCCCGTTCTCCCCCTGCGGCCCCGGTGCTTCCGAAGGGAGATCCTCCCCACCTGGAGCAGCGAGCTCGGATCCAACCCTCCTCCTTTCTCCCCTATGCAGACAAGGACCCTCTGGCTCAACGGAAGGTCTCCACCTTGACGATAAACTTCGGACCGCAGCACCCGGCCGCCCACGGGGTCCTGCGGCTCGTCATGGAGCTGAGCGGGGAGAGCGTGAAGAAGTGCGACCCGCACATCGGCCTGCTGCACCGGGGCACCGAGAAGCTCATCGAGTACAAGACCTACCTGCAGGTAACCCCTGCAGAGCTCGCGAGGGCTCCTGAGGCCACCTCTCGAGGAGGAGACAACCCGAGGAGGGTGTTAGGAGGTGTCTGAAATGAGCACCCCATTTTGCACCAGGCAGGAGCCTGATGCTCTCCTGCTTCTATTCTGCTTTCATCAACGGATCAGGCTCCCTTCGTGTCCTGAAAGGAGCTGCTAGTTCAAAGCTTGTTTTTTTTCCTTCAGCGAAGTGTTAGGAAAGCGGTGAGGAGAGCCAAGGTATGTCCCTTCACACTGAGAGAAATCCAGGCTGTTTGTGTCCCTGGCTCCTGATCGGAGACGTCAGCAGCCTTCTGGAGCCCTGGAAGTGGATTTAATTGCCTGTCAGAGACTGCAGCGGCGTTTGTAAACAGAGCTCTGCAGATTTATTATCCCAATCGGATTTTAACCTTTCCGCCCGCCGGAGAAACGGCGCTTGATATAGCCAAGCCCTGGGAATGGGGAAGCGGCACGGGGCCAAGGCTGGATTTGGGAGAGCGCCAGGACAGCTGCGCTCGGCTGTGCAGGGCTCTCCATGGTGCCTGCACCAAAAGGGTTGGTTCCCATCGGGAGAGCTCCCGTTTTCCTTGGGTAGCTCCACGGATCAGAGAGGCTGGAGCTCTCCCGGGACACGCCAAGTTCGTGGCATCCGTGGGAGCCACAGAACTCTCGGGAATGGACCTTCTCCGTGTGTTCCCTTGTGCCTCATCCCAAGGAGAGGGTTGTCCCTCCGCAGGGAGGGAGACCCTGCTCGCCTGCCTGGGGCAACTGGTGTCCACACCGGAGAACTTCCCGCATCGGATGGAGCTTCCGAGCGCTCCCAAGGTGCCGGTGCCTGGCTTGGAGCGCAGGCTCCCCAGGGATGTTTCTCCCCTCAGGCCTTGCCCTATTTTGACCGTCTCGACTACGTGTCCATGATGTGCAACGAACAAGCCTACTCCTTGGCCGTGGAGAAGCTGCTCAACATCCGTCCCCCTCTGAGGGCTCAGTGGATCCGAGGTGAGAACGATCCCACCCCGCTCCGTATCCTTTGCCGAGGCGGGTGACACCGGGATCTCTGCAGATGGGAATGCTCCTTTCCAACGCGTTTCCTCTGTCCCCAGTCCTCTTTGCAGAGATCACCCGGCTCCTCAATCACATTATGGCTGTCACCACGCACGCGCTGGACATCGGGGCCATGACCCCCTTCTTCTGGATGTTTGAGGAGAGAGAAAAGGTAAATGCCAGGAGAGCAGGACCCGGAGAGACCTGGCAGAGCTGCCAGCCCTTCTCTGGGAAAGCTGCTCTTCCCACAAGGCAGTTGGGAAGAGGATGGGAGCTCTCCCGGTGCAGAGCCTTCCCCCAGGAGAAGCTGTTTTGAGCCTTAGATCCTAAAAGAGGTTGTGCCAGGGGGGAATTACTACAGGAACCAGACATCCAGGCTGGTGTTTGGCCTGCCTGGAGGCTGCACAGCTGGAGTTTTGATCCTCTTGGGGGTTTTGCTGAGCACCGAGCGCTGCAGGAGGTAGCAGTGCTGGAGGATGTTGTAGATCTGGCTGCAGATCTGCCTCGTGCTGGGGAGCTCACGACCATCAGATGGAGCCAACCAGCCCTTCCGCAAAACCCCACGCGCTCCCTCGTCCGCTCGCTGCTTCGCGAGGGGCTTTCGTGGGGATTTTGCAGCAAAAACTGTTCTTGCACCAGCTCCAGAGCTTTCCCTGAGGAAAAGCCACATCCGTGACATCACGGGGGTGGGTTTGGGGTTAGTAATGGTGCTTTTGGGGCTGGGGTGCCGAGCGTGGCTGCAGGGAGCTGCCTTCTCTCCCTGCAGATGTTCGAGTTCTACGAGCGGGTCTCCGGGGCTCGGATGCACGCCGCCTACATCCGACCCGGAGGGGTGCACCAGGTAGGGGCTTTTCTTGGCCATGGGACCCCCATGGCTCCACAAGGCCTGCGAGCGGGCAGGTTGTCACCAGCGGTGACAATTCACTCGCTGGGATGCTGGAGAAGGGCTCCCTGCAGGTTCTCCCCAGTCTGGTGGAGGTGTATGGGGCATCCCTGTGTGACACCGTGGATTCATGTCACCCTCTTCCTGCACAGGACCTGCCCCTGGGGCTGATGGACGACATCTATGAGTTCGTGAAGAACTTCTCCATGCGGGTAGACGAGGTGGAAGAGGTGGGACTCTGGGATGAGCAGTTTGATGGCACGGGGATGGGAACCACGTCCTTCTTGAAAGCTGGGATGGTCCCTGCTTCCCAGCACCCTGAGCGGTGTCACAGCAGGGTGGGACCTGTCTGGCCTGTCCCCGCTCTCCTGGGATGGTCCCCCAGTGATACAGTGGGTCAAGCTAAAAGGCAACATCCAGCACAGCCACAAATCCCTGCCAAGAGGAAGGGGCTGCACCGGGGTGGGCGGCAGGAAGACCCTACCTCAGCATGGGGCTGCGGACGGGCTGTTAACACCCCACTGCCCGCAGATGCTCACGAACAACCGCATCTGGAAGAACCGCACGGTTGACATCGGGGTCATCACGGCGGAGGAGGCCCTCAACTACGGGTTCAGGTGGGTCTCGGCCACGGGTTCAGGTAGGTTCAGTGATCGGGACCACTCTGGTGTTGTCTGGAGAAGACCTGGGGATGTTGTGGCCTCTCTCCTTGACTCTTAGGAGTAGTTGTCAGCCCCTGCCAGGCCTCCAGACAGCCCCAAGAGGATCAGAGTGAACCCCAAAACCACAGACCTGATTGCACAAGTCCCCAGGGCTCGTGCCTGTCAGCTTAGTGCCACCCAGTGGCTGGAGCTGTCACTGTCCCGCTGTCCCTATGTGGTCTAAGCTGTCCCGGGAGGTGCTGCGGGCCCCCGTTTTGCGCCCGTTTTTCACCTGGTTCCCTTTGCTCAGCGGGGTGATGCTGCGAGGTTCGGGCATCCACTGGGACCTGCGCAAAACGCAGCCCTACGACGTGTACGACCAGGTGGAGTTCGACGTCCCCATCGGCTCGCGGGGCGACTGCTACGACAGGTACGAGGTGCCGGGGCCTCCGCCAGGGCAGACCCGCTCTGGGCAGCGGTGCCAGGGCCCCGGTTCCCTCTTGCTGCCGGCG